TGCCCCTAAATCATCTTTTATTTAAATTTCTACTCATTGTCCCTTTGAAATAACCTTCCTCAATTGCTATTGGTCTTGAAGTTAATAGCAAGGGCAAAAGGATTCATGTTTTGAATGCATACATTGATATTTGAGTGCTCTGGATGGTAGTTAATGTTGTAGGCTTAAAGATGTAGCATTGAGCCAACAGGGATTCAATTCCTGCTTTCATTCTAATTAAATGTATTTCAGGGGATGATAAAGAAAAGAATGAAATGCAAAGCACTAAGTAAATGAAGTGGGAGCAGAAGATTTTTCATGGTTATATTTGATGAAGCCCTGAATAACAGATCTGTGAATTCTCTGAAAGCCTAGTCTACATATTACATGCTTTTGCTTTGTGTCAGGGTTCAGTCCTAAGCAGGGAAGGAAAAATGTTCAGCACTCAAGTTTAAGGCTTGGTGGCAGAGGCAATAATATCTAATTAGTCACTTAATTTTCAGAAATATAAATTATGTATATGTAATACACTGACTACTAAGCAGCATCAGTTGCCTGCTAAATCTTACTTAAGAATCCTCTTAGGGCACAGAGTAATGACTAACACTTTCAACTGAGAACTTTTGGAACTATTATAGCCATCAGTCCTTTTGTATCAATTTAAAAACTTTAAAGAATTTGTATCAATTTAAAGAATTAAAATTTAAGAATCTTTTGCAGGGTTGGGACTTACTTTATTATTTTTCTTCTTTTTGGGCCAAATATGGCGATGCACAGGGGTTACTCCTGGGTCTGCACTCAGGAATTACCCCTGGTGGTACTCAGGGGACCATATGGGATGCTGGGAATTGGTTCGGGGTCAGACAACGCTCTACCTGTACTATTGCTTCAGCCCCACTGGGACTTACTTTAACTGAAATTGCAAATATATGTTCACTCCTAGATTAAAAAAAATTCTATATAGCTAGAAGACTTGTGAATTTAGTCATTTTTTCATTTATTTGGGATATAGGGCCGTTGACCAGGAAGACATAAATGACATTGAAAAGTCATCATTTGGATACTTTTTCTCCAACAGGCCATGAGCTCTTGCTATTATGGCCCCACTTACATGTGGAGAAAACTAATGCTCATATCTTATAGTTGGTGAAACTGAGGGTCCCCCTGTGTTCTCTTAAAGGTGCGAACAGATGCTCACAATCCTGTGTGTCTGCTCTGTTTTTAGGAACTAGCTCTCTTGTTTTGGGGGCTAAGTATCTCAACTGACCTACCTTTAGCCTGATCTCAGTTAAACCCTATCATGCTTGATCTGATACCCCACAGAATTTCAGAAGCAAATGACAAAAGACTAGCTGAGTCTTCTGCCAAAAGGCCAACCTGGGAGCACTATGCTCTTATTGAAAAGCTCCTGGGGGCTAGAGCAATAACACAGCAGGTAAGGCATTTGCCTTGTACGTGGCCAACCTGGGTTGGATTCCCAGCATCTCACGTGGTTCCCCGAGCACCACCAGGAGTAATTCCTGAGTGCATGAGCCAGGAGTAACCGCTGTGCATAGCGAGGTGTGACCCAAAAAGCAAAAACAACAACAACAACAAAAAAAAACCCAAAAAAAAGCTGCTGCATTTTCTCTGTTATACAACTTTTTTATTTCCCCTAGCATTAAAGTGCAAAAATGCATTTTTTTCTTTTTCTTCAAAATGCAGTTCAACAAAGGCCCATTATGTTAATTTGTCAAAAATGTCTTGTAAAAGGGGGAATCTGATTTTCAGTCACCTAATCTAGGAGCATACTGGTGGTGGGAATGTTGTCTTTTGTGTGTGCATTTGTTTACAATAGACCTTTCAAGAGCCTGGGCAAAGGGCATCTCTGATGCAGAGCTGCTCTGGGGAAGGTGAAAGCTCAGGGCAGGACGTGCTGAGCTCTTCGGAGCTCCCAGGACCGGGGCACATGCTTAGGCTGCGTGCTAGGTTAGCCCATGAGCTTTCCCCATGATTTAGGTTGGCTCTGTTCCCAGCACGCCAGCCTGGCATCTGGTGCTATATAAGACAGGTGGCTTTGGGGCCTGTATTCATTTCCTCAAACTGCCTGAATAAGGATCAAATATTGGGTGACTTCATACAGTGTTTATTGGTTGATCTAGAGGTTAGAAGTTGCAGATCAAGGTGTCATCATGGCCATGTTCCCTCTGAGACTCTGGGTAAAATCCTTGCTTATTTCTTTTTAGCGTCAGGTAAGAGCTGTTGATCTTTGGCTTGCAGTCTGGTCAGTCTAATCTCTGTCTTTCATCACATGCTTTCTCTGGGCATGTTTCCATTCTGATAAGGAACCAGTCATGGTGGATTAAGAGTCTACCCAATTCCAGGATGATCACCTCTTAACTAATTAGATCTTTAGTTTCCAAATAAGTCACTTCTGAAGTAATGGAGATTAGGGCTTTTGAGGGACACATTCAAGCATGAGAGAACCTCTTCAGTCAGAATTCAGCAGTAGCACCCTTTAAATGATAGGGAAAAGGGTGATCTGGGGACAGGAGGAGGGGCAAGTATGACATAAATCACTTATCAGGAGAGGACTGTTTAGGACAAAGCCATGAGTCAGAAGGCAAAGCAATAGGTTCTAAGTCAATTTATGTTCTCAGAAGTGTTCATATCAGCACAGTTATTGCTTCCTAGTTAAGTGAGAGTAAAGGAGCAATATTTTAACTTTTTGAAAACTTCATATCGGAGGAGTTCTTGAATGAGGAGGGACACTTTATTAATAGAGTTTGACTTCTGATATGAATTGAAATATACTTTTATCCACAGGTAGATATACTTGGACCCAGAGTGGAGTAGGTTTGGGAAGTTAATTGATGGCCCCTTAAGATGTCCATGTCCTAATCCTTGGAAGTTACTTTGATGACGGAGACATTGCAAATGTCAGGATAAGAGGCAGAGAGATTCTTAAAGTTGGAGTGACAGGATAGCAGATAAGGTGCTTGCCTTATGCACAACTGACCTGGGTTTTATCATATGATGTCCTGAGCCCATAGGGAGTGATCTCTGAGTGCAGTCAGGAGTAAGCCCTGAACACAGCTGGCTGTGATCCAAAAACCAAAAACAAAGCAATGACAACATAAAAAAAAGTTGTATTATTTTAATGGATTTAAATGCCATCACATGTGTCGAAATGGGGAGGCAGTAGAGATCACAGATGGAAGCAACCATGTCAGAGAGCATTGTAGTAGGTACTCACTGTAGCAGAAACAGTAGGTACTAGCTTCTGCATATGATGTTATAGTTTTAGGAGACAGTATTTCTTCTTCTAAATCCTTTTGTAGCAGCTGGGAACATCCTCCACTAGGTATTTCTCCCCTGCCATCTACCAATTCTCCTATATTCTGCTTCTGTCTTTATTCTTTCACTGTGATCTTTCTCTTCTACGTATGCGGCTTTGTTAGACCGTTTCAGAGAATGTTACTCTTGCTTTGAAAAGCAACCATAAAATGTGCATGCATGCTACACATTTGTCCTGCACACACACACACACACACATATACACCTTGCAATAATCCACTTGTACTACTTTTACTGTCTACAGTTTACTGTTTACTGTTTACATCTACACCAAGAGTCCAGGGTCACAAAAGGATGGTTCCTTTTATCTTTCCTACACCTCGAACAGTCTCTCTTGTCAGGATATTACCCACATCCAATCTTCTTATATCTCCTAATATAAGTAGCACCACCTTTTTATACTATAAACGTGTCCAAGCTACATCCTGACTTAAAGTCCTGCCATTAATGTGTACACCCTTCAGCATGGCAACCAATAGTTGTCATGAAATGGTCTCTATCGGCCATCTAGACTTGTATTACTCCTGTTCCATAGCTCAAGATCATCCACTCTCATAACTTGCTATGGTTCTTCAGTGATTGCCTGCTCTCCTGCCTCTCCTTATTTTCACTGGCTAGAGACTCTTCCCTCTCCACCTCATTGGACTCAGTCACCTTCCTGCCTTCAGCTTAGAACCATCACCTCAGGAAGGCTGTTCCAATCCTCACTGTTCTCATAGTGTCCTGGTAACACTTGGATGCTGTAACACCTTATGTCCAGATTCACTATGTCTGTCTTCCTTAGCTTATAAGCGCCTGAAAAATTGGGGCCATCTCTTACATAATTTTGGTGTTCCTCGTACCTAGTCTAGTGCCTGGCATCACGGAGGTAATCAATCAATGTTGATTGGTTGAAATGATTGTAAAAAACCTTTTGCGTTATAGCCACAGTTTTCAAATCCTTTGAAGTCTTTTTCCTTGGCTTATTTCAAAATTTTGATGGGAGACAAATGAAATCAAGAGACAAGAGAAATACGATCTCGAGGTTATAGATTTTTTAATTAAAATGTTCTCTTGTTTATTTTATCAGGACGTATGTAGGTGTGTGACCCTTTTGACCTCAAATGTCCTAGTATGTTGGGCTAAAATGAAGCAGCCCCACGAATATATACTGCATATATACACCTGTTTGACATTTGGAGATGACCAGAATTCACCTTTTTAAAAGTAGACTTGCTGGCTACATTACTTTGCCTTCTGACCTTGACTGATCAACGCTATTGGTATCGAAACTTTTTGGGGTCCATACTATGACAGCGCAGAGGGAAGTCTCTGGAAAGAACTCACCAAAACAATCTTGACCTGATCTCATAAAGTTCTCTAGCTTCCCCACAAGCTCTGTGCCCTACCTGAGGGTGTCCCGGGGGCGGGGAGTTCAGCAATAGGGTGTCCCCGGCCCAAGCCCCTGCAAGGCCCCCTGCCCGCGGTGGATGGGTTGGCCACCCAGCTATCACCCCGTCGGTCCTCACCGCAGAGGTCCCGGGGAGCCGGGGTCACGTGCCCGACTGCTGCCCACCGCCCCCCTGGGCCTGAGCCCGCCCCGGCCGCAGGGGCAGAGGCCACCCAGCTCACGGGCGCCCGGGCCGGGCCCAGCCAATGGGCTGGCGGCGCCCGCATGACCCGCGCCGGCGGGAGGGCGTGGGGAGGCAGGCCGGGCGCGCACGCTGTCGGGCCCGTCTCGCCGCCACGCCGCCGCCCGCACGCCCAGTTGAGTGAGCCGCGCGGAGCGAGCCAGGGAGCGGGGCCCGCAGCCGACCGCAGGCGGGGGGCGAAACATGGCGGGGGCCAAGGTAAGCGTCAGCCCGTTGCCCGGGGAAGCGCGCGGGCGGCCGGGCGCTCACGTGCTCGCCGGGTGCCCGGGGAGATCTGCACGCAGAGCGGGGGCCCCCGGGGAGCGGGGGTCGCTGCCCGACCCACCTGGCAGCTGCGGGAGGCCAGCAGGGACCGAACCGCCCGGGCAGGGCTGGCGGCCCGTGCAGAGGCAGTGGCCAGTGCTCGCAGCAGCAACTTGGCCGGCTCGGATCCTCCCTCCCCCCTGAGCCGGGGAGGAGAGTCGGGGCTTGATCGGCATCCGGCAGGCAGAGCTAAGGCCGGGGAGCAGGAGGCCCAGTGCACCGGTGGGGGGAGCCGGCCGGGCCCGGAGTCGGGCCCAGCAAGTCCCCTCGGCCATCCCAGGGCACTCCATCCACCCCTGACCCCGGTTTGTTTACTCGGGCTTCTAAGGGGCACTGCCCGGGCTGCTGCCTATGAGGTTTCAGAGGCTCCGCCCCTCGGGTGGGGAAGTCACCTTGACTTCCGTTTTGGAAACTGCCCGGGAGGATTGGCCTGCACTTGTGTGGCAAAGAACGCCGGGGACCCCTCCACCCCCACCCCTCCACCCCTACCCCACCCCTCCACCCCTTCACCCTCCGCCCCCTACCTTTCTCATTCTTCTCCCCTCTCTCCCCATCTGATAACACTTACCGGCCTCGGAGCCTTTGAGAGGCTTCTTTTTGGAAATGACAAAACAGATTGTCTTGGGAGCCTGCAACTCCTGTGAAGTTCTACTTAAAAGGAATTCTGCATAATGTGAATCATTCACTAACCTAGAGGAAAGGCAACTCTGACAGCTTAACCTTTTCCTCTTTCACCATTTCTTGAAACCTGGACACTATTTCAGTCTCTTTGGACTCCATTTCAACTTTTCTGGCAAAATACCATCTTTAGTCCCAATCACTTGACTCATTGGAATTTATTGCTTTTAATTTTAAGTTCACGAAAGCAGCCCTTTAATCAAGCCTATACAGCTTCGTAGCTCATTTTAAGTGCAGTGAACTTAAATATACCCAACATTTCAAACATTTGTCCTTAATCAAAACTCGGTGATAACCCTCAAGAGGAAAACATGGCCAACACATCATATTCTTATTTATTCAAGCAAACTAATCACATTTGCAATGGAAATTGTAAGCAGACTAATATATTTAAATATGCTCTATGGCTTAAGTCTTTTAGCTCCCCAAATCTGCAGACTTCTTCATGTATTTAGATGGTGTGGCCTGAGTGACCTTTCTGTGAGTTGTGTGCTCACTCCTGAGCATTTCCAAGTCTGATGTAAACACATGTGGACACACATGCAGTTATGTATGTATAGCCTAGAAGTTAAGTGTTACATTATCTGCCTTAATTTTTAAGGTGGATTCTCAGAGGACATTGGTACTCATTTTGGAAGCTAAAACCTTTTCGTTTTGGGGCCTGGAGTGGGTAGGGCACTTGCCTTGCACATGGTTGACTCAAGTTCAGTCTCCAACTCCTGCATCTTCTGTAGTCCCCCAAGCACTGCCAGGAGTGATTCCCAAGTTCAGAACCAGGAGTAACCTATGAACATCTCCAGGCATCACCCCAAAATAAAACAAAACGAAAAAATAAAACTGTTTCATTTCAAACCTTTAGCCCTTGACTCTTTCTGGTGTTAAGTTTGCATTAAGTTAGAATACAAGACTTGGTATGAATTAGTTCCCTCAAGAAGACTTCTTCCAGGAGAGTAAGTGGAGACAGTACCCATACTTTACTAGCATTTTTATATCTTTAGATTGTATTAAGTTATTTTACTTAATTTGGAGATAAAACACTTGAGGGACTAGATTGAAGGATATGCATTTAACTGGAGTATAAAACAAGACTATTAACTCATGAAGTAAATGACATAGATGTAGATTTAATCTTTAGGTTGCATTTTTATTAAATATCATCCTATCAATAAGTATTGCTGAATTTCAGCCAGGTATTGAGATTCAGGTGAAATGAACCATGTCATGTTACTCTTTGGGAATTTGTATTTTTGTTTATTCTTTCCAGGATTTCCCATGTCGTGTGTGTGTGTGTGTGTGTGTGTGTGTGTGTGTATATCTTTACCACTCGACAAATCAGATCAGAATCAAACTAGAAGATGAGAACTACAGGATAAAGGGAGACTAAGATGAAGCCAGGACTAAAGTTAGTGTACAGATGTACTTGCTAGAGGTGACTGAGTTTTGTGATAACTAGAACATAAGGGTTATGATCATGAGAGCTGTTACATGAACAAGAGATATTCTTGTACTGTTTAGAGCAGTTTCTGCCCAGTCCTTTTATATGCTATGAGCAGATTGCATTTGAAGCTGCTTCATGACTACAGATACATATATGTGGGCTCTATAAGGATGTTTCTTTTACTTCATTACAGCTCAAGGGCAGTTTAGTGAATTTAGCTCCCAGATCAGCTGCACTTAGTCTAAGAATGTCCCTTTTTACTTGCCTTTGGATTTCATACTTGTGGGGTGATTCTCTCCCTGTTTGTTAGTATTGGGAAACTTGAATTAAAAACCGTTTGCTATTGAACACAGAGCATAGACTAAACAGTCTCAGCTGGAGTTAGGATTGATACCTATCTTTAAAACCTAAGCAGCCATACTGGAAGAGATGCCTACCTAAATACAGTCTGAAGAAATTAGGCCAGGAATTTGGGACTCAACAATTGTGGGTAAATTCTAACAGTTATGGGTGGATTTCACCTATTGTAGGTGAGCTTCTGCCCACTTGTGGATTGTTTAAATGTTTAAGAAGAGTTAATATTTTCTGGGATGCATTTAGCCACCACAAGCAATTTCTTCATCTTCTGCTCATTTATTCTTTGTTTTCTTTTTTTTCTAAATTCTTTCACTTATTCATGTCACCTGTTCATCCATCAGTTTTTCATGTCTCTTTTAAATACTTTAAACAGAAAGGCCAAGAATCTATTTTTTTGTTTCTTCTTTAAGATTATGCAAGAGGATTACTACTTAATGGCAGAGGGGTATTTCTTTTTTCATGTAGAAACATTGATTTAAATATCTTAGAGTTTTGCAGTCAACTCAAAAAGCTTCTTTTTTGCTGCTTACTTTTATAGGAATAATCCTATCTTATATGGTAAGTGACAAATGTACTATTCATGTTGTTTTGTGTATTTCTTTGAAAAGCATCCAGATGTAAATTAGTGGTGAAGTACCATATATGTATGTTTGTTTTAATCCTAGGCAGCAAAACTAAACTAGTTCTGAGATCAAGAGTTTGCCTTGTGTGTGCCTACCCTGGTTTAATCCCAGGCATTGCCAGGGGTCCACTCTTGAGCACATCAGAGCACTGTCAGGTGTGGCCCAAAGCTCCAGCTCAGCTCACTCCAGAAGAAATCCAAACACAGTCCTGTATGAGTTAAAACAAAAATATTTTTTCAAAATATTTTTTACATAAGTCCACAAAGCATGCATTTTTAAAAAATAGTAATAAATTGGTTATTATCATTTCCCCCTCTGCCTATTTTTTGTTGTTGTTGCTGGTGATAATTCCCTTTGCTGGAATCTAAATATTAAACGTGATGAAATAAAGCTAAATGAAATTGTTGAAAGTTATAAAATGCTAACTTCAGTTCAGGCACGAGAGATGTTCAGGTACAGACCAATGATTTGGATGAAATTAGCCTAGAATGAAAGAAAAAGAAAAGTGGAACAAATTAAAGCATTGATATAATGAAAATTTGATCTACAGACAAATATACTTACTTAGTATTCCTGGGTGATTTGTTTCACTGATGATTAATTCATATTGAATTGCATATTGTATTCTTTGTAATATTTCAAATGGGACTAAATTAAGGATATGAAAATTAACTGGACTTGTTGAGTCTTCAAGAAAATCAGAACTATACCATGGGTAAAATTCTCTCATGGAAGTGCCTTAGTAGGGTTAATGTTAGAACTAGGGACATCAGAGTATCAGGACAAGACTTTATTGGGGAGGGAAGTGGACACTTCTTAAAGGTGGTATTTCTGAAGGTATGGTTGGAGGAAGATAAAAAACAGGCAATTACAAATGAAAAGGTGAAGAGAGGGAGAATAAATACTGTGTTTTAGGTAATAAGAAAAACAAAAGAAAAGCAAACACTAAATGTTTCCTAGATGTGAAAGTCAATTATAAAAGCTTTTCATTAGTAACTTAATGCCCCTCACAGTTCTGTGAGTTACACAGTGTCCTCCTTAATGTGGTCTAAAATCTAATTATTAGATAGTGAAGGAGCACAGGTTGAAATCCAGCCAGTCTGGCCCCAGAGTCTGTGCTGCTCCCCCTTTATTTTGTAGCCTTCCCTTTGTTGAGCATGACAGGGAGTGGAGCTAATAAAACAGTGGTAGGAGAGATGGTTTCAGAGGGGTTGTTATGTGCCTCCGTGAAAATTAGAGTTTTACTTAGGAACCACTAACAGAGTTCATCCTATATGCCAGGCAGTTTGCAAAGTACATTTATTTATTTATGTATTTATTTATTTATTGCTTTTTGGGTCACACCTGGCGATGCACAGGGGTTACTCCTCGTTCATGCACTAAAGTAATAACTTAATTTTCATAATACCAATAAATAGTTGGTCCATATTTTTTCTTTATTTATTTATTTTTGCTTTTTGGGTCACACCCAGCGGTGTTCAGGGGATACTCCTGGGTCTACACTCAGGAATTACTCCTGGCGGTGCTTGGGGGGACCTTAAGGGATGCTGGGGATCGAACCCAGGTTGGCCACATGCGAGGCAGACGTCCTACCCACTGTACTATCGCTCCAATCCCTTTTGTCTTTTTATAAAAGAACGCTAAGATTTTGGAAGGTTAGGCCATTTCTCAAAGATGTATAGCATATAAGTGATATAGCCTAGATTCGAACCATTCACCTTGCAGGCCTTAAGTGCAAAGTTGCACTTAAAAATTCACTCATCATCCATTATGGACAAGTATATTTCCTGAGCATTCCC